GAAACAATTACTAGTCATCCGACTCCTATATATGAAGACAATACTGCATGCATTGCTCAAGTGAAAGGAGGTTACATCAAAGGAGACCGAACAAAGCATATATCACCAAAGTTCTTCTCAACACATGATCTCGAGAAAGATGGAAAGGTTGACATCAAGCAAATCAAGTCCAGCGAGAACCTTGCTGATTTATTTACAAAAGCGTTGCCCCCGAAGAAATTTGAAGAACTCGTACACAAGATTGGCATGCGTCGCCTCCGTCAATTATGCTAAGCTGAGGGGGAGAATTTTATGAACTGTACTCATTTTCCCTTGATCAGGTTTTTATCCCACTGGGTTTTTCCTGACAAGGTTTTTAACGAGGCAGTACATAAAATTAGAATGGGTTACTAAACTATGTCCATTTACGAAGTACCCATCATTAATTGAAAAATGAACATTCAAGGGGGAGTGTTATGAAATTATTGATTGTTCATTTATTCAATTAATCAGGCCTAATTTCTAGAATAGTAGATTAAGACACTCATTGATGAGTATCAATTTAGTACAGTCCTTCCCACTTGTATTTGTAATCATACTAAGCCTCTCCACTATAAATAGAGGCTTAATCCCTGCATTGTAATCACCATTAAGAATAAAAAGAAGAGTGAAGAGTTAAAAGAGAGAAGAAATCAGAAATATATTATATCTATTCTCATAATCTTTGAGTAGTTTTTCTCTCATTTTATAACATAAAGTTATATATTATTGTTTAATAATTTTAAATAGATTGACATAACAAAAAGGTAGAATGAAGTAAAAATTTGAGATGTTAATGAGCCTATCCATTACCAAAATATAGCATGAACTAGTAATTTAGTGGTATAAAAAGTTGACGAAAATAATAATCTTACGTATCAATAAAGATAATGTGCTTTTATTATCGGATTCAGACAAAGATCTTATGATCAACAGTGCAATGATTAGATATTCATATGTTAAATTGCGAGATTTAAATTTTTGAGTTTTGCTTAAGTTAACCTATTTATTAGCACTTTCAAGTTTTTGGAATTTGAGATAACTTTTTAGTTATATTTTTATTTTCACTTGACTATTTAGACCAAGTACTCTATTACTTTCTATGTTCAATTTATGCCTTATACATGGTGAATTTTAGTTAATTAGAATGCATGACTCGGTCTTGTGGCAAAGCCATTTTTGCGCCTTTTGTATTCCTGGTTGGCTTGAAGTTGGGAAGCAGGAAGAATGAAATGGAGGACCTAATCCACAATGATTTACCATATCTTCTTTGATTGAAAAGGAAGATGAAGGGGCAAAGCGGTCCAGGAATAAAAAGGGGAAGAAGATACCTTTCTCATCTCTAATGAGCAATGAAATACGGAAGGAAGACCAAGTGTGTTGATGAAATTGGACCGCTCGAATAAGGATGTGTGGTTATTGTTCATTGACAATAATGTTTCTAGGCGAGAATGCTATCCACAATGTTATTTTGTGTTTGTTTTGATATATAGATACTACTGTGGCTCTGCCCATATATTAGTTTTCATTCACTATTCAAAAGATCAAACTTTATTCACTTATTTTTTAACATAGAATGGAAAGAACTCAAAAGGATTGATAATACCACTCATACGAACAAGAAGAGTTAAACGTGCCCTACTTAGAGATTTCTATGAAGGGTGACCCACTTGGAAGTTCCTGGGCGCGCACAAGCGGAGAAAAAGTGCACGAAGAAGAGTTGTGTTGGTTTGTGGGGCTACTTAACAATCTTATGAGCAGACACTTCTAGCGAGGGTGGGGCCGGAGTGTTACAAATGGTATCAAAGCAATCATGCGACCGTGACGAGCCAACAAGCTTGGTAACATCCCAAAATAGGGCTTAGAATGATTAAACATAAAAATCATTATGATGATGATAATAATAATAAGAAAGAAGTTATTTAAAAATAATAATTTAATAAACTAAATTGATAAATTAAAAATATTCAAATAAGTTTTGAATCACAGATATAAAATATGATATAAAATATATAGTAAATTTCATAAAAGGTCCTAGTTATAGGTCGTTTTACATATTTAGTCCCTACATATCAAATATTACTAATTTAGTCCCCAATTATCATATTCATTTCTACGAATGGTCCTTTGTTAACATTTCCATTAAGAATGTGGATAAAATTGTAAATTCACACTCCTTTCTCTACTCAATTAAGCTTCCTCCCTCTCCTCGCACTCCTTTCCCAACCTCGTCGCTGAGTTTGAAGTTTTAAACCCAAAACCGAAATCATCACTCTTCTTTCAATTGTTTGTCTAACTGGTGGAACCCAAATTTGAAACCAGTAACCTTCATGGATGAGTTTTAATGTTTATTTTCTTTGTAATTTCTTAAGACTAATCGATAAAACTCATCCACAAAGCTTATTGGTTTTGATTTTAGGTTCCACCAGAAAGACTAATAATTGAGAGAGAAATAATCATTTCAGTTTTGGGTTTAGAGCTTCAAACTCAGTGACGAGTTTGTAAAAGAGTACGAGAGGAGGGAGGAAGCTTGATTGAGGAGAGAGAAGTATGATTATACAATTTCATCCATGTTTTTAACAAAAATGTTAACAAAGGACCATTCGTGAAAAATGATATAATAATTGAGGACTAAATTAGTAATATTTGATAATTTTGTTGTTCGTAATATTTGAATTACTAATTTAGTCCCCGGACCCTACTCTTGTGGGATTCAATTAGGGACTATAATAATTGCGGACGAAATTGAATCCCACAAGAGTAGGGTCTGTGATTCAAATATTACTAATCCCAAATTGGGGACTAATTTAGTAATTGGGGACTAAATTAGAGACTAAATTAGTAATAATTAGAGACTTTTTATGGAATTACTCTATAATATCATAAATGGAAACTCCTAAAAACATAAATTTCTTTCTCTAATATACTCAAGTCCAAACCTAATGACCTTACTCGGCTTTCTTCTTCTCTTGTTTCGCAGAATCTGTTCAATGAGCCTCCATTCACTTTTCTCAATCAGATTCCGTTCCAGCTCCAAGTACTACCGTCTACCGCCGACTTGCTCCTGTGAGTATTCTCCCCTCCATTCTCCATCGCGAAACATTTGCAGTAATTTTTACTCTTTTTTTTGTTTTCTTGTACTCCTTATTTTTTATCTGGAAAGTTAAATTGTGGAGGCCAATTTTTGTCCTCCACTGTAGACTAGTTAGCAGTGCAGTAGCCAGTAGGAGAGGCATGGACTTCCTAATGTCTCCCTTCAGCTTTATTTTTTATTTCTCCATATGTGTTTATCGATTAAGGGAAAAAATATCACCACAAATTATTGAATTCATTTAAAAAACATTTAAAATCTCTAAACATATAATCCAAATATAAGAATTGTACTCAGAAGTCTATTGAATTCAATTCGAGAGAATGAACAATTTTCGCTGGATTTGTTGTGCTGTAGGTCTTATATGTTGACATCGATCTGATGAACTCTACCCGGAGCTATCAGATTCTGCGATAGGTTCCATTGTTGTGAAGGCGACCTTTTTCTTATGAGCTGTCAAGTCTTTCAAATTTTATTTTATCTCTTACCCGTTTGCTGAGTTTTACAGGATTGATGTGAAATGAGTTCTGAAAATTGGAAAAAATGATATGGTTTGGGACTTTTGGAATCTGAAACAAAATTGTTTGAAGGAGACATAAATGAAATCAATTCATAGTCATAACTATTTGGCGAGTAGTTAAGAAATTGATATAGTATATCGGTTAAAGACTAGTGATTGCTTGGAAAACAACGATAGTCTATGCTTTCTTTTTAGTACGAAGTATTGAACAATGTGAAGTTCAATAGTTAATAGCAGGGGAAAATTTTGTGGGCTTGAACCTGTAGGAAACAAATTGTGCAGCATGCCACTGCTGCTGCGTTGAAGACAGAGGTGCCACGGCTCCAGATTTGAGAAGTGGTGGCCACAGTTCATGGAGATAGAGTCTTTCAGACGGAGATATTAACATAAGATTTTCTCAGGATGAAGTATGGTGCTGTTAGAATCGCAATCGGTGTATGGATGGAGATATCAAAAGCTCCATATGTGGAGAGTTTCCATATCTCATTGTCTTCATATTTCAAAGTTGAAACCTTTTCTTATTCATTAAACACCAATTTTAGAAAAACACTAACTTTAGAAACTTGATATCAGAGATATCAAAACTCATACAAGTTTTGCTTACCAAGCATGCCCTTAGGGTTTTCATCTATTAGGGTTTGCTAAAGTTTTAGGAGTTTCCCAATGATTTTTTTGAAAGGATTGCATTTGTTTCCATCTCAATGTTCTTCTTGGTTTCTTTAATTGTTAGTCATTATTAATATTAATTGTTATTATTGTTGTTGTTGTTGTTGTTGCTGCTGTTGTTGTTGTTTCCAACATCTCCGATGGAGCCAAAACTTCACTCTTTTTTGGCTTTGAGGTGTGATGGAATAAAGCAAAACAGATCTTAAAATGTCTGCACTTCTTTAATTAATGAAGTAGCAGGTAGTTACACAATGCAACTTTCGATGCTGAGCCGGGGGTATCTTTGGAAACAGTCTTTCTACTTTCAAGTAGGGGTAAAGTCTACATACACACACTCTCCCCAGACCCTACTCTTGTGGGATTCAAATAGGTTGTTATTGTTGTTGTTGTTTTTGTTGTTATTAGGGGCTGTACGATGCTGCTTTTGTAAAATTGACGGTTCCCATTACATTTTTTCATTTAGAAGTCCTGTGATTAGAAATAATTCAAAATGGAAGACATCACAATGTCAGTCAGCAAATCGACCCAAGAGCTAGCAATGGAGGGACAGAAACATCTAGAAGAAACAATTGAAGCAGCATATCAAATCCTTGCTTCAATGAACGATGAGCTCTGCAACCCTGCGTTATGGTCTATCACCACTTCTTGCAGTAACACTACAAATTCCCCAATTGTTGCTGCTAATAGTAACAATTCGCTTTCCCAAAACGGAGCCGGAAATGGAGACTCTGTCTATGATGGAACAGGTCATGGCAGTGTTCGTTCTGTTAAAGGAAATGGAGCTCTTGATGAAGCTCGATTTCGGTATAAAAGCTCCATAGCTGCTCTTCGCGAGGTACTTGCTGCCATTTCGATTTCTCGCGAGGTAAAAATCTCCAATTCTCTGCTCTTGGTTATGAAATAAAACAAACATATCTCTTAAAGATATAAACTTTTTTATTGCTCTCTGCAAATAGGCAAAAGCATTTGAAACCAGTTCAGGTTCTCCAGAAGATGAAGCTGATGTTGAGAAATTGGAAGTGCAAGCTTCCAATCTTAGAAAGGTACTAACTAGTACTGGTCCTGAGCAGAAATTATAGGTCAAAGAACCTAAAGTGGTTGTTTGGTAAGGCCTAACATGGCTAAAGTGGCTTAATTTACTAAAGATGTGGTTGAAATGATTGGATAGGCTGAAAAATTATGTAAACAAAGCCTTTGAAATATACTTAGTATTTCTTAAATAAATTAAAGTTAATAATATCTGATAATGAAGGCTGTAATACCATTTTTTTGTATCATCCGTTCCTGTAAAAATATGTTACTAAAACACTACTATTTTTCACGATAAGACTATTTTTCACAATCAGGTTGATAATGCTATAAACCGATAAAAGCTTACTGAACGAGCTCTCAACCTCGTAAGAGCTCATACATGCATCATTTTTATTACTCCGTAAAAAATTAACAAGATTAGCTCATATATCAATTTGTGTGCTTTGTGTCTCCGTGCTTCCACTTTGCTCTTACTTTGTCTGTGCTTCTGTTTACTCATATGTTTACTCTGCTTACTCTGTTTACTTTCTGTTACTTAGCCCTTACTTTGCGTGCCCGTATGTTTACTCTGTTTACTTTGTCTCCCTTTGTATTTGAGTTGGGGTCTCTTGGAAACAGCCTATCTACTTCCTGAGTAGGGGTAATGTGTGCTTACACACTCTCCCACAACCCTACTTTTGTGGAATTTTATTGGGTTTGTTGTTGTCGTAGCTCATATGCGATATTGTGATCTTGATTAGTCTTCTTTCAAAGCTTTTACACACATAATGTGTTTCCCTTTGTGTTCGCCTCCTTTGTAACTTTGTTTTTCTTATTTTCCTCCGATGCAGGAACTTTTCAAGAAGAATGGATATATTAAACTTCTCATTGATCAATTACGAGATCTTATCTCCGATTTATCTACTTGGCAAAGTCCTTGCTCTGTATAAAGTCTGTGTAAATATCATGACATGAAAGTTGAGATTACATATCGTAATTTATTTTACAAAGGCAAGTCCCGGCTGGTGATCTAATTATGATTTTTCTTAGAAGCTAATCTCCAATTTTGAAGTTAATTTTATATTGTAGAAAGGTTGTGGTCATTTTTGGAATAGCTTCGGCTTTTATGAGGGAATTTTGCCATGATGTTGTACTTCATGATGTGTTGAGTCATATGGATGAAGCCTTTGTCGAGATAATTCTTCTTTTATGTGGGAATTTAATGGTTATTCTGCTTCTTGAGGCTCAGGTGATATGCTACTCCCTCTGTTCCATTTTAAATCACGTGTTTTAGTTTATGATGTTTGACTGAAGCTATTTTCAAAGTAATTTATTAGAGAATTGGAGCGGAATTAAAAACTAAACTTTATATTTAAAAAAATTACATCAAAAATTCTAGGAAATAAGAGGTGACATGACTATATTATTTTTTCAAATTAGTAACGAAATTGAGAAGAAAAATGAAAGAAGTTTGATCCTATAAACAATAGACATGTAACTTAATTTGGGATAGAGAGAGTATTAAATAAGTTTATAAGGTTGTCAATTAGCATTGAACTATCAAGAGCCCATTTATTGGTTCTCGAGTAATAAAACTATGGACCTCCTTAGAGCAAGAGCAACGGTGAGGCAAAAATGGAATGTCACATGCTGACGTGGAACATTTCAATCAATGAAAAATAGTTCAGTCAGCGTGTGACAACTAAGTGGAGGACATGTGGAGTGGCATGTCCTACTGATACGAAAGTATCCGGTTGGGAAGAGCTTCGAGTGCTCCCAAACTCCAGAATGCAAGGCAAAGAGAGAGAGAAGGAGATACGGCGTTGGGACGGCCGAACCTCAAGCGAGAGAGAGAGAGATGATTAGGGTTTTAAATATTGTATTCCTTAACCATTCAAAGTGACGTACTTCTCCTTATATAGTGGAGAGATAGAAAACCCTTTTTTTAAAACCTAATTACTACGTTATCTATCCTGGCGGTTCAAGAAAAAGCGACGAGGTAAAGAACCGCAAAGAAACTCTCGAAGGAGCTTATAGATACGCTCACCTAAGAAAATCTAAATAACAATAATTATTATTATTAAACAAATAACAATTCTAAATAAAATAATCCTTCTGCCATGCGGGAAGCCGCCTAGCCCTCGAACTCCTACGCATGCCCGGTTCCCCGTCCGCATGCACACCATAGGCTTCCTCGACCCGAACCACCTCGTTGTCAATGTTCGGATCCATATCCACGTGGTCCGTATCCTCGCTGCCCGTAACGTCCGTCTGTTCCCGAACCACATCGTTCGTATCACCTGCAGTGCAAAGTCACTATTTTTATTACTTTTTTCATTTTCTTGCTATATTTGAATTATTAAAAAATATTTACCTATTTATATATTTACCTATTTATTTTGACTTAAAAATATTTCTATTTACTAAAAAAGTGACATTATTAAAATGTATTTTAACGAATAAAAATTATTTTCCTTATATGCTCCATATTTTTATTTATCTCTCTGTCTCAAATTAGATTACATTTTAGAATTAAGATGCAAAACTCCATGTTTTTTAAAATCATTTTATTTAAAATTGGTAAAAGAATAAAAATAAAACCTACAAATTAAAAAACAACATCAAAAAATAATTCCACTACATCTAAAAGAATTCTTTCTAAAAATAAAATAATTCTACTTTAAAAAAATTTGTATTACACGACAAAAAACAAACAAACAAAAAGCCAAGGAAATGGATTGGAATGTACTCTAGACAACAAAAGTGCCTCGCACCTCACTTGAAAACCGTGGAGGAACGGTATGCACATGCGAGGCAAAGAAGGGTTTATGTCCGAGTTGGCAAGCGTGTCATCTCTTTTACACACCGTTGCTTTTGCTCTTAATTTGGATATACTCACCTCAGGCAAAGATATACTTAATTTTATGTACATTCAATAAATACTACTCCGTCTAATTGGGATGGAGGGAGTATGTTATTCGTAAATGTACATACGTTAATTTCATAATATACACCCTAAGTGTGTACAAAAGTTGTGTGTATTTGTTTTTCATAAACTTTCTGACAGTCAAAATGAGTATAAAAAGATTGGGGACACTAGTTTCTTTGGTGTTTCCAAACCCATACCTAAGATTTAACCAAACCCCATAGCAAGGAACTGAAAAGGCGTGCAAGTTGAAAACGCTAATTAACATATCTTTTGGGTAACAGTTTTCTTTAATGAAAGGACCTACAACAACAATCCAATATAAATCTAACTTCCTTGAGGTATAAGGAATAATGGAATCTCACCCTTGTAAAATAATACTACAACAACAACCCAGTGAAATTTCACAGGAGTAGAGTCTAGGAGAGCGTGTATGTACGCAAATCTTACTCTAATCTCCAACTCGAAAGTAAATAGATAGTTGCCAAAAAAGACCTCCAACTCAAGCACCACAAGTAATCACGATGTCGCCTAACCATTATGTACTCTATCCAAATGACTCATGGCGAGTGTCAAAAGTTGTATTGACTAACTGCTATTTCACCATTAAAAGAAGTACAAATAGTTTAAAGAGCCATTTTGCTTCACTATTAAAAAAATTGACTTTATCACACATGATGAAAAAATACAAATGATAATTTCTATTAGACCATAGATGCATTGCATTTATTATCTAAAACTTCATTGAGAGTAAGAAAGAGAGAACAAGTTTGATGTGCCATAGAAGTCAAAAAAGACCTTTCCATTATCATTGTTAGTAGTACTGTAAAACTGAACAGAGCACACTACTCAAAAGTCACAACCCACCAAGGAACTACATTGCCAGAATATGTGGCAATCCATTTAAACTGCATTGTATTACTCCCTATAGATATATATATAGATATAGATATGGAAAAATGTAAAGCGTTCCATGCCTTGACATATCCAAGCAAAGTCCATTTATTGCATTTGGGTGCCAAGCAGTGGTCACGTTGAGGGAGGCCTCTTTCATTTCTAATTATCCAAAATTTTGTCTTCCCAAATGCGAACACGAGTGATAGTCATTATCGTGCCCGATTCAATTGAGACATCCCCTAAGCAGCATTTACCAACTCATATTCAATGAGTGAAAGGTTGTTGTCGTCTTTGACATTGAAATCAGTGGGCTCTGTCTCTTCAATACGTCCCCATTTGTCCACTGCAAGCCTCATCGACCCCTTAAACATGTCAATTTTAGCATTTCTCAGTATTAAAGTAGCGCCCTCCTTCATTAAATCCACTGCATAAAAAGATATGTTTATCACCACATGGACAGTCAATCAAGAAGTCAAGAAACAATATAGTATTCCATCCGTCCCATTACTCCTGTCCCTATTTCCTGTTTTGGTATGTCCCATTTCGCTTTTACCCAAAACCCAGTACTATATTCGGTGTGATTTAGGGGGATAAAATCAATCCATACTTCAAAAAATCAATGAAAACCACTCTATTTTATTTCTTCTTAATTTGCCTACCTTTCCCGTGCTTCAAGAATCGGACGGAGTGAGTACTTGAACTTTCCCTCTATCAAACTTGCACAAACAAAACATTGCAATCTAATCCTTCTCTTTAAAAAAAATGCATGAAAAACTAAACCCTAGAAGAGTATTACACATTTATTATTTAGACCATTCCTTGGGTGGGTGGGTGGGTGGGGGGGGGGGGGTTGAAAACTTTGTAGCTTCATACATCATTCTCACAAGTCACCTCATCTCCCAGCATGGCACATTTGAGGGATATGCCATGTTAAAGGCTTTAAAACCTTAGTCTAAGTGGCTTCAAAATTAGTTAAGGAACATTTATTAACCCAATCACAACTCCCAATTCCTTCTATCATATACTAGTTTGAGGCCTTCTCACAAAAGAGGATACCTACCTTGCTCATTCCTGGAAGTGAAGAGAATGGTCCCAGTTTCATCTCCCACCAGAGACTCAGCAATGCGCATTGGACGAACCGGGGCCCCATCTGGCCTCGCCTTCTGTAACACCATATTCGAGCTTACAACCTTGACCACAAGGTTGTGCCCGTTCGTTCCAGGTCTCATCTGATCCACCTTGGTGAAAACCGGTTTCCTCATTGCCGGTTTGGATTCCGCCATCTGAAACAAACAAAATTCTGTGATGAAACTTCAGTTAATCGATCAAGCATCCATACCACAAAACTCGTCCGCTACAAGTGAGCAAAAAACATGTTGATTGAAGAAAAACTAAATCAATCTCTAATCATAGTCGGATTTGATGAATACAAGGAAGCCTAGAAATGGATCGAATACAAAAGAATGATTACTTGCAGAGAAAGTACCACAGATTCACTACCTATGATCCTTCCAGGTAAAGGTAGTGATTGATCCGGGAGAGGCGGATGGATATCCAACAAGATGCGATCCGATTAATTTCTCTTCGCAGCTCGGAGTTATGATGGAGTGTAACCGTACAATTCGGGTTTTGAGTTTGATCAGTTTCAGGCTTTTCAATGCTCACCGTTGATCTTCTCCAATCTCTCTTCTCTTCTCAATACTAAGGGCGGACTTTGTGGTTCATCACATTCCCACATCTCCACATTGTTTCAACCTCTTAATGATTCAGATGTCTGAATGGTTCAACACTTAATGGTTCAGACTGTTTGTTTCAGCTTCTTAATAGTTCAGATGTCTGAATGGCTCAGACATTTGCCTCTGAATGGTTAACTATTATACAGAGTCTGAATGGTTAAGACCTCTTATCTGAATTGATCAGACATTTGCCTCTGAATAGTTAAGCAATATACTAGCTCTTAATGGTTCAGACATCTTATTGGTTTAGCACTTACCTATTCAGAAGTTGCCAAACAGCCCCTTAGCCTTACACCAATTTTTCTTATGGTTCCTATGACATTGCCCGTCAATGTAATGGGATGACCCAAGGTGTTCCGGTGTCTCATTTGTTTGACGGTTCCTATCATTCCTATTCTCCCGGTAAACCCCCCCACCCCGCTCCGACCCGAACACACCTCCAACCCCTTCAATTGCACCCCACAAGTTGATTTTCATTTTGGAGTCAAATTGCATTCTCATTTCTCATTTCTAAGGCCATGGGATATGGCCGAGGAGGTATATGGAACAAAGTGCTTATCCATCTGTATAGTACTTATTTTGAAGTAAGGTAGTATTCCTTCTCGCACAAACATAACAATTCATTTCAAAATAACGTGGTACTTATTCTGAAATAAAGTAGTACTCATTCTGAAATAACGTAGTACTCATTTTTACACATATGTTTAATATTCATTTACGAATAACGTAATACTCATTCTAAAACCTAGTAGGACTCATTCCCAAATAGCCTAGTACTCATTCGTAAACAACATACCATTCATAAGTTGAAATCTAAAATTTCTTTCTTTTACGTTGAAGACCAAATCGAATTTGAACAAATGAATAGCTAATATGAATTAGAGCTTCGCCGACCCATCAGATCTGAATTACAGTCATCGCCTATCGCAGGTCGGAAATCCAAGCAGCCTCCTTCGTCGCCGATCGACTTCGCTTGTTCCTACTGCAGGTGTTTTCTTCATATATGTATGTATGTATCTATACATACGTACATACATACATACATACATATATATATATATATATATATAGATTTTGGTTCTGGTGAGAATGCAATCTTAGGAGAGAAATGAGAATAAATCTGGTGCTTTGGATTGTGAGATCTAAGGGTCAAGATTTCATCAAAATTAGATGCACCAAAATGGTTCAAAAATGCATCACGTCAAAATGCACCATAAACCTTCGAAAATGCACTATCTCAAAATCTGAGCGCAGGATGTAATCTGAGCCACACGATGCATCAGATCTGACGGCTAGATTTTATAGAGTAAAGAGAGGTGTTCCACGTAAGAGTGCCCTTGGTCGGGGATATATATATATATATATATATATATATATATATATATATATATATATATATATATATATATATATATATATATATATATATATATATATATATATATATATATATATATATATATATATATATATATATATATATATAATATATATATATATATATATATACTCCCTCCGCCCAAAATTAAAGTTCTCACTTTCCTTTTCAGGACGTCCACAATTAATGTTCCCATTTCTAATTTAGGAAACTTTTCCTTGTTAAAATCACTGAAATACCCTCCAGGCCTCCTCTTTCTTTCCCTTTCGTATAATTGCAGCCACCCTCCACTTCCTATTACTTATCTTTTCCTCTTTCTTTTTCTTTACATTCTTCCTTTTTTCTTCTCTCCAGCATCTTCTCTTCCTTCCCTTTTTTTTCTTCTCTCCTTTTTTCTTCTCTCTAGAATTACCGATTCTTTCTTCTCTTCTTCTTCTCTGTTTTTTTATTGTTCTTCTACTTTTCTTCCTCTTTATTTTCTTCTTTCCTCCCCCCTTTTATTTGTTCAACCGACGGATTTTTTTTCTTTTTTAATTCTCTTGTTCTTCTTCTTTCTTTTCTTCCTCCTCCCTTCAGATTTGGTCATCAGATCATATCTCCGTCAGATCTAAGCAATTCACTTCAAATATGGGTTTGTTTCTTGTTGGAAGGCTCTTCCTAAAAAACCTAAATCTGTGATTCTGTGAAGCAAGTCAGCATCAACAAAAGTTCTTCTTCTTCAAGTCATCTTCGGTTTTTCTACTCTGGTGTGGGATAGCTAGAATAGAACCTTAAAGACTGCTTGCGAGAATTCTGAAATTTTGAGGGGGAAATTTCTGGAAGTTTGGTCAATTTTGTCGCCGGAGTTTTACTCTGACTGGTTATGTTCTTCTGGACTAATGGGAGAGGGGGGAGTGGTTGAACAGTTGGACGGCAGTATGGTGGTCAGGGGTGGATCAGGTGGGGGTAAATTTTGGGAAAGTCAAAGCAAATTTTAAGTTTTATTAAACTCCGTGCCAAGTCAAAATGGGAACTTTAATTTTGGACGGAGGGAGTATATATATATATATATATATATATATATATATATATATATATATATATATATATATAGGGGCCGGTTCAGGTGAGAATGCACCTTGGTGAAAGAAATAAGAATAAAATCTAGCCTTTGGATCTGATGCATCGTGCGGCTCAGATTGCATCCTGCACTCAGATTTTGAGATTGTGCATTTTCAACAGATTTTGGTGCATTTCGACATAATGCATTTTCAAATCATTTTGGTGCACCTAATTTTGATGCAATCTTGACCCTTAGATATCACAATCTAAAGCACCAGATTCATTCTTATTTCTTTCATAAGATTGCATTCTAACCAGAACCAAAATCTATAAACTCAGATGACACTTTCGGTCAGATGACAGCGTATGGTTCATTCTAGATCAATGTAGTGCTCATTCTAACCCAACGTCGGGTTCATTCTCACACAACTGTGCATCACAAAGTACTGTTAATTTCAAAAAAACATAGTGTTCATTCCAATTGAGGCAATTGACAAAATAGGGTTCATTTTGAATAACATGATGTTCATTCTCAAACAACGTATGATTCATTCTCACACATTTGCTCATTATAGACTTAGTACTCATTCTAAAATAACATAATACTCATTCCCAGTTTGCTCAGCAAAGTGTTCATTCTGAAACAACATAGTGCTCATACAAGCTACTACTCATTCTGAAGCATGTCATCTGACTGAAAGTGTCATCTGACCGAAACATGTCATCTGATTGGAGTCAAACCCATATATATATATATATATATATATGGATTGACTCCGGTGGATGACACCTTATGGTAAGATGACATGTTTCAGTCAGATGACGCTGAACCTCACCACTGATCACTGCAAAGCTCACCATTGATCACTGCAAAACTCATCACTGTCCAGTGAAAAGCTCACCATGATTTTCCAACACTTTACATTTTTTTCAAACTTTGATGGTTAAATGCTTACAAAGCCCAACAACAAAGCTCACTGACTCTCATTGCAAAGCTCACCGAATATGTGCACAAAGCTCACCACACTTTAAAGTTTAAAATGATTAAAAAAAGGGCGGTGGTGCTGACTTCCAACCGCTACAGATTACCGCCGTGGACCGGTGGTGCAATTTTATTTTTTAAAAAAAAAAGTTGTGAGCTTTGCATTGTTCCTTGGTGAGCTTTCCATTGACAGTTGGTGAGCTTTGCATTGACAGTTGATGAGCTTTACACTTTGACCGCCCATGACCAATGGCCACCACCGATGACCCCCACTGTTGCCTTGGACCGGTGGTTGAGCGGTGGTTGACTGGTAATTGAGTGGTGGTGCTATTTTTTTTTAACTTTTTTATTTAAAAAAGTGGTGAGCTTTGCATTGACAGTTGGTGAGCTTTGCATTGGCAGTTGGTGAGTTTTGCATTGGCAGTTGGTGAGCTTTCCATTGAGAGTGTTGTGTGTTGTGTCATCTGATTGAAACATGTCATCTTACCATAAGGTGTCATCTCACTGGAGTCAATCCCACACATATATATATAGGGGCCGGTTCCCGTAAGAATGCACCTTGTGGAGAGAAATGAGAATAAAATCTAGCCGTCGGATCTGGTGCATCGTGCGGCTCAGATTGCATCCTGCGCTCAGATTTTGAGATAGTGCATTTTCGAAGGTTTATGGTGCATTTCGACGTGATGCATTTTCGAACCATTTTGGTGCATCTAATTTTGATGAAATCTTGAGCCTTAGATCTCACAATCTAAAGCACCAGATTCATTCTCATTTCTCTCCTAAGATTGCATTCTCACCAGAACCAAAATCTATATATATATATATATATATATATATATATATATATATATATATATATATATATGATGTTGTTATTTCCCTACTGTGCGATCGGCAAAATTTCGTAGTGGAGGAGGCTGTGATCAAGTCTGATTTTCTATGCCTCTCCTCGATTGGGACTAATATTGGTCATATTCGGGGCAAACTTTTTGGTCCAATTTTCTCTAAATTGAAATTCATTTGTACTGTTGCGATCAGGCATTCAAACTCTATCCTAGGATATAATTTTTATATTTATTTGTAATACTTTTTCCAAAAATGTATTTTTGTGTGTTTGACTTTGAAAGAATCAAAATTGATTTAATTAATCTTTTATTCAAAAGATTTTTATATTTAATTCATATTATTTATTCTCATGATTTATTCCTCAAAAGCTCACATCATAAATCAAATTATTTATTTATTCTTAATTTAGGTCTGTACTCTAGTCCCTAAATCAGGATTACACATATTGTCAACATATTGGATTTATCTCTATGAGATTTATCTAGATTGTGATATTGGATACCAAAACATATTTTATTTCGGTCCAAGGCCCAAAAATAATTTATTTCATTCAAAACAAATATGTTTAATTGAATAATAATTCTATACTAATTTTAGGGTGTGTTTTGGAGTGTTAGAGAAGCAACCTCCAAACTATATTTCCCGTAAACTTGATAATTCGAAACTACAAATGCCGTGAATGAATGAAGTTATGTGCAAACATGTCAAGTATACTCCAAAATATGATGTTATACACTGCAAAAGAACCTTAGTTGTTGTTGCTGGAACCTGCAAAAAGGATCGTCGATTACTTTGCTTAATCAAAGACTATTAATCTCTCGAAGATAGAACGAGTTTGATGACATCAACGTTTGAGAATACGTATTCGTGGGGATAATGGCATAATCGTGATTTAACTGAATGAACATGACGTGGTCATGTGACATGACTAACCTGAATACAAACATGATGTTGATGGTTGTGCCTTAGAAGAATTTCGAGGACAAAATTTCTTTAAGGGGGAGAAATGTAATAGTCCAAAATTGATTTAACTAATCTTTTATTCAAATGATTCTCATATTCAATTTGTACTATTCAATATAATGATTTATTTCAATAAATCATTCAAAAGTTCACATCAATCAAACAAATCTTAGTTTAGGTGTGCACTTTGTTCTTTAATCAAGACCACATATTTAATTTGCAATTGGATCTATCTAAACTCATGATATTGAATTCAAATTTTGCCCATGGTCTAACAATACTTTATTAAAATGAAAAACAAATTTGTTTATTTGAATAATAATTCAATAGTACTTTTAGGGTGTGTTTTGGGGCGTTATACAAGCTCTCCTAATAATTACATAGTGGTCACTTGCTCTTTTTCTCCCACTAATCTTTCACAAATAACTTATGTTGGATTGTAAGATTATCGTTTGAAATTACTTTAGCCTCTTATTTTCAAAATTTTAACGATCTATACGTGGCGTAATGTGTACCCTTAAAATGAACTCCCCTCACCCCTTATAGATTGTCATTTGATTATTTTGGTTAAATTTGATAAATTCTGACTACAATTTTGTTTAAAAAAATTGATGAGTTATAAGGTAAATTTAAAGTAATTGAATTCATTTTGGTTTGTAATTTTGATATATTAAATTTTATAACATATATTTATTTAAAATTATATTACCTTCATCCATAAATGTTTGTCTAGTTTTAATATTTTACGTTCAATCATTTTTCAATCTTTGCCTTATAATTAGATAAAATATATATTGCATATTAAATAGAGTAAATTCCATAAAAAGTCCCCAGTTATAGGTCGTTTTACATATTTAGTCCATACATATCAAATATTACTAATTTAGTCCCCAATTATTATAACATTTTTCACGATTGGTCCTTTGTTAACACTTTTGTTAAGAACATGGATAAAATTGTATATTCATACTTTTCTCTCTCCTCAACTAAGCTTTCTCCCTCCTCTCGTACGCTTTTCTAAACTCGTCACTGAGTTTGAAGTTCTAAACCCAAAACTGAAATGACCATTCCTCTCTCAATTATTAGTCTTCCTGGTGGAATCTAAAATCAAAATGAATAAACTTTATGGATGAGTTTTATCAGTTAGTCTCAAGAAATTGCAAAGAAAATAAACATTAAAACTCATCAATGAAGGTTACTGGTTTCGAATTTGGGTTCCACCAGGTAGACAAACAATTGAGAGAAGAGTGATGATTTCGGATTTGGGTTCAAAGCTTCAAACTCAGCGACGGGTTTGGGAAAGGAGTGCGAGGGGAGGAAGGAAGCTTAATTGAGGAGAGAAATGAGTGTGAATTTAAAATTTTATCCACGTTCTTAACGGAAATGTTAACAAAAGACCATTTGTCGAAATGAATATAATAATTGAGGACTAAATTAGTAATATTTGATATATATGGACTAAATATATAAAACGACCTATAGCTGGGGACCTTTTATGGAATTTACTCTATTAATTATATAAAATAATGTTTTGAAAATACTTTATAAAGTAAATTTAATAACATTGTTTTGTATCCAATATCTAATATCACTCTGATTTAATTTGAGTTCTAAATTTATTAATTTTTACAAAAAAGTTAGAAGTGAACAAACATTTAAGAATTTAATAAGAATAGAGGAAGTACTCAATTTCTTATTGATCAAACTATTTTGACATTGATAAGTCAAAGAAGGAATATTTTTTGGGTAGGGTAGGACCTATGAGTTAAACGGAACCGGGACCGGGAAACTGAACTCGCCCCAAATCAGCGCGCTTATGTCAATCCGCATTTTCTTTTCTTTCTTCCGCTCCCGAAACGGACAAACAGCGTCTTACGCGTCTCTTGTTCGAACACTTCACAAACTAAACAAAAAAAAACTGCTTAGGCCTTAGATCCATACATTGGCACCGGATCCCGCTGCTTCCGCCGGAATCAAACCTTTCTCCGCTGCTTCTTTTCTCACCGGAGTAAAAGAGCCCGCGGCGGTGGTTTCCCGTCCGTCCATGTTCAGAGAAGAAACGCCATTTCTGCTCAAGGACGAAGTCGCCGCTGCCCTATCTGTTCCTTGGAGATCCGCTGCACTGCCAGAGGTAACGCCGGAAGCTTTCTCTTCATCCAGGTATTTCACATGTGGTGCATGAAGCATGATTTCATCTGATTATGAGGAGCGCTAGCCGCTAGGCTATAGTCGTTTTTTCATGAAAGTTTTTGTTTCCTTCAATTGATTACAAAAAAAATACGTTTTTTTATAATTAGTCCACCATTGTTCATTAAATCTACTCGTTATTTCTGTATGATCCGCTTGACGTAAAATCTGTAGAGAATGGTTGATGAAATTATTACGATTTAGGAAGGATAACAAAATTCTTAAGGATATCCTGAGAGAACGAGACCTTTTTAATGGTAAAACGCATTCATTCGACATCAGTCAGAACTTCTCTAAAGTGAAGTCTTCATGAGTTTAATTGCAAAAGTTTATTTAGGTCATGTTTGGTAAACAACATTTTACTTGGCATTTGGTTGATTTTGATCCTTTTAACCCAACACATCATTTTTTGACAAATAAATGGTTATTTGAGCTGTTTGGTAAATTATCATTTTGAATCAGCAACATGCTGAGCAAAAGGTTGATTTGAAAATGCAAATAGGATCAACATTTTGGTATTAGCAGTGGTTCTTAATTTTTAAAACTCTGCAAAGTTAACCAACATCTTTTTACAAACTATTAACTAACTGCTAGTCAAACATGCTAATACAAACTGCTATCCGCTAAGTGTTATTTGCCAAACACACCCTATCCGTAGCAACTAATTTATTTAGTGTTTCAGAATTCATAATAATGATTGCTTTATATAATTATATGCATGCATTTTGCTATTTGGCACCATAACATAATATCAAAGAATAAATCAGGATAACGATTTGTAGGAAGTAGGAAATGATTATTACCCTGTTTTACGGCAATACCAAAACTTATCTGCCCTGTTTTGTGTTCAGCGTGATTTCTTCCCCCTTTCATGCCATTGCTAGATGCACTTCTCCCCCCCCCCCACCCCATTTTAAGCCAAACCTCTTTTCTCATCTTCTGGGATGTCTTTGATTGATTTTACTTGCATCCTGTGCATTGATCCTATGGGAATGTGAACACTTGAGTGCAAAGGTGTTGTTCTGATTCATAACATTTATTCCCATCAAATGTGGTATACGTGTGTCTGTGTGTGTGTGTATTTTATGGATCAAATAGAAATGCTCTTTAGGTGAAAACTAAGAATGAATATGATGTTTTAGATTGTAGATTTAAGGGCTCAAAAGTTCAAGTAAAAACTATTTTGAAAAACACTAACAAAATTGTAATTAAAGTGCAACGTTTGCCACCACGTTCATTTAATATGTGCACATTGTGTTATTAGAAAGTGCATCATTTTTTCTTGTTGACATTGTTCACGTGAATACTATTTTACTTGAACTTTCCCCTATTATGTTTGTGTGTGTATAAAAAACATTTCTGTTTATGTTGGCGACAATTTGGAACATAAGAGTTGCAATTAATGTGTAATTTCTTATATTGCTAGTGGCAGTTGAGCACTTTCCATGAAGTCTTGGTGAATGACACTAGCCTGGGAACTGAGGTTGGGATGCAAAACTCTTCACCTGAAGAAGTGTCTGCATTGGTTGGCAACAATTTTTTTCATTGTTCAAAATTACAAAATCATTACACAGAAGCTGCTGTAGTGGAATGCAGGTTTGTTGATGATCATGGCATCACAAGTTATCCTCCCACAGATGCAAGCTCAGAGACCAAGTTTAGTACAGACAAATCTGACCAGAAAGTACTAAGTAGAACTGACATTTCAAATAAGAGTACAGAGCTTGATAATGGCCAACATAGATCAATTGTTGTTCAAATTTCCAAAATTGTGGATTCATCTACCTCAATCAATGGAGACATGCATTGTGATGCTACCCTTGAATCTGGGATGGAACATCTGAGAAGCTTTGTTGATAACAATGGAAGTCCACCAAGCCACCATAAAAATTTGGATGTTCAATACAGTGGTTCTGACATAAGTAATGATGAAAATTTGGTGAGCCAAGAATCTGTGGTTGCTGAGAAATCTTGGAGCAATGAAGCATTGAATACCTCATTGGATGTTTCTTCAGCTAACAGTGTTGCTGGACAAGATGTTAGTACTGGAACTGTTGGTTACCTTAAGAAACTATTCCAGTTTTTGATCAAGATGCCAAGGTTTGATGATGAAAAGATGAGAGAGCACATCAGACTTGCACAGCTACAGGTTGATGAGAAGACCCGAAGTAGGGATGCTATTTGGCAGGAAATAAAAAAGAAAAGAGTAAGATAAAAGTATTGCCCCTTTCAAATTTTTAGTGTATTGTATATGTTATTTATACTACGGGAATCTTTTGTGCAGGACAATTGCCAACATTATGGTGTTGAATTTGAAGCTGCCAAATCAGAAGAGAGAGCTGCCCGAAGGCAGGTCAGATCAAAGCGTGCTGAAATTGAGCATCTTCAAACTGAAATTAATAGAGTAAAGAATGCAATTTCTATTGAGGAGATAGATGCAAGGGTAAGAATTCACCCCATCCCCTCCATTCGCAGATTTTTTTAAAACAAGTACAATGAAACGCTATCAGGTTTGCATATTCGTAGTCATAGTATTTGACAATCAAAATCTTAATATTCGGCAGATATGTAGCATGGAATGCATGATAGAACATGAAACTCTTCCTTTAAAGGAGGAAAATAAGTTAATTCGAGAAATTAAGCAACTGAAGCAACTGCGTGATCAATTATCTACCAATATAGGTAGTTGTGTTGAAGTCCAGCAGGCTCTGGATAATAGATCTCAAATTGAGGAGAATTTAAAGGTAACACACTGAAATGCTCTTCAATATGTTACCATGTGCCAATGTGCACCTTCACCCGGATACAAATTCTTTGTTCTCATGTTTCTCATTCACTAGTGAACTCATTTTGGCTTTTCCTTTCCCTGATGATAATGTTTTCAGATTTTGAAAAAAGAGCTTGATAGCCTCAAAAACGAAGTATCAAAAGCTGAAGCTGTTGCTCTGGCAGTAAGTTTGCAATATGAAGAAGAAAGCAAAATGCACAAGGAATTGCGAGCTCTGTATAACGCTGCCAATGAAAGTCGCCAAGCTGCATATGAAGACCTGCAGGTTTTGAGAAAGACACTATACGAGAAGGTTAGTCGTAAATATTTTTGAGGTTCAGAGCTACTGTCATTTCGTTTTTAGCAAGCCCGAGGATCATTCTGAGTGACCATTGCAGAAGTTGGTATGCTTCCTAGTTTTCCTACTATGCAAAATTGTGAATTAATTGACCCGTTTCTAATCCTTCGGTGTGGGGGATGCTGTGGAAAGAAAATAATTTGTGAGGGCGAGGTTTTGGGTTGCGATAATATGATATAGTGACCTTGTATTCATGTTCATGATGTGAATGTTGATTTTAGTATATTTATATTCTCATGCTATACTCTATGAAGTGGAATAACCTATGGTGATTCCAATTATGGAATTTTGCATCATTCCTTTAGAAGATCCTGAGCAAAGAGCATCCAGCCTAAAACTTTGTCATGCTTTTTCCTTGATTTTAGTGTTAAATAATTCTAGATGATTGATTGACACAACAAATTTCATGCTAGTGAAGCCACCGTTGTGATTAAGGTATAAATAATGAGTGTGTATGGAATACTTGCCATCTGTGTGGAGAAGCGCGAGTAAGTTGGGTATGACAAATACAGAGTAATGAATATGCTATGGTATCAAAGCATGTGCATGTGACAGACCCTATACTGCATCTTGTCTTATTTGCAATCTTTGCTTGGCTTATTGGCTTAATAGTTTAGGGCATCAAATTTAAAGGATGTTCTCTTGCCTCGAATAAAAACCTTTTTTATCTTTAATTTTTCATAATTCTGTGAGCTAAATGTATATACTGCAGTGAGAAGTATGAATAAATGTATATACCAACATATTGTAGCAGTGAGCTAATCCCAAGTCTTCTGAAATGTAGAACAAGCATTTTAGAATGTACAAAGATGCTACAACCACTGCCAATAGTCATGCTGCATGCCAAGAGATTGAGGCTCTGCATCACCTTTGTTCCAATCAGGTAGGCTAATGCATTTCATTGGTCATCTTGTAGAATAACTCGACCAAGTAGAACTTCTGATTTTTCAGGTTGAGAAGTATATGGAAGTCTGGAACAGGGATGAAAAATTTCGTAAGGAATATGTGAGGTGCAACATGCAGAGTACAATTAGGAGATTGGGAACTTTGGATGGTCGTTCTCTTGGCCTTGAGGAGTCTCCACCAGTGCTTCCGGTATATGTAGTTGGAAGAACTAATAAGTTGGGTTCCAGCACATCAGTTGACTTGATCTCCCCAAACTTGCTATCGCCACAGGAAGATCTAGTGCTTATCAAGGATAATGAAGACACAACCAGAAACCCCGTGCTGAAAGTTGCAGGGCAAAAGGCTGAACAAGACCGGAAAAAAGAGCCCGTGATGTCTAATTTGGAGAATGTGGAACACATACAAACAGAGGAATTAGAGGCTTGGAAGGATGATGAGCTTGGAAAGCTTGAGACTGCCGTTAGACAGAGAGAGCAATGCCGGTTGGAGGAGATCATCAAGGCCAAGGAGGCATTGGAGAGGAAAAAGCGGAATGCGGAGAAGGCTCAAGTGAGGGCTGAATTACGGGCTCAGAAGGAAGCAGAACAAAGAGAGAAGGTGACGTTTTTACCCTCTTATCGCTTGTGCCATTTATATCTGTACTCTCTTGAAGTCTTAATTAAGAGAGGAATGTGCACGCGCACGCACACACACACACTTGTACATGACTACATATCACTAATCTACTCAAGTTTACATTCATTTAATGGCCAAATCCTTACAGGAAAAGGAGAAGAGATTGAGAAAGAAGGGGAGGAAGAAGGGCAGCATTGGCGAAGCTGGTAACGAGAACGAAAGTGCTTCAATCTGTGAGACTACTATAAAAGATACCATGATCGAGAACGAAAGCAAGGAATCAAAGGATGAGTGTGGTAGAAAATCTCAGAGAGCGCCTCAGTGCACGAAGCAAAGCAAGACAAAATCAATTCCTCCGCCGCTTAGAAACAAAAGCAAGAGGAGAATGCAGCAGTGGGTAAGGATAATTTTCACATCCTTTGCTGTTATCGTTTTGTTCCTGCTCGGAAACATTGGCTTCTTTGCCAGTCTTAAGCAGCGCCAAAATGTGTCATAAGTCACTCCCTTTTTTCTTCTTTTTAGTAATAAAAACACACTAGTGCCGCGGGCACGACTACATATTTTTAGTACAACATTGGTCTGGGGCGAGTCTGTGGGGGAGGGGGGGGGTGGGTGGGGGAATGGACTCGACTCTGAGTATAGTGGCTCAGGATTACTAACCATTAAAGGATTTAAAGCTATGGACGCTCCACGCTTTTTTTAAATATCTAAAAGGCATGGGGTTCATCTACGTTTCAATAGTTATACATGAGATCTTTTTTTCTTTGGTATATACTTTTTTTTGTTTCAGTACATGAGTCCAATGATCTTTGGATTATCTTGATGTATTTGTCTCCTTTGTGCTTAAAGAATTGAAATAAAGTAGTACTTCCTTCGTCTTTGAAAGAATCCAATAGTTTACTTTCAAGGAAATGAAGAAAAGTGTAATAAAGTTGATGAAAAGTGAAAAAGGGTGATTGAAGTTTATTTGAAATATAGAGAACCAATGATGTTCCCATACTTGTTTCTTAAAAGAGGAAGTGTGCAAGTGTAAAATTGATTCTTCTTCTTCAAGTGGCATCCATGTAAGAAATGAAAATGTGTGCAATCCATACATTGAACATCTAAAGGATGTCATCGTCTGAATTATTCTCATTGTTCACGTTAAGAGTCATTCTCACGAGAATTGTAAATGAGAAAAATATTGAAAAACACTGGCTATCAAATATGATCTTCTATGGATTAAATGGATCTATAGTAGGTATAAAAAACATTCATCTTATTTGGGAGTTTGGGTCTACATTCCTAGATGTGATTGTTGTTTTTATTATTAGAGGAAAATGATTGTTGCTAAGAGAAGCTTTTCTTAAGAGTTACATTCCTAAATACTCCCTCCGTCCAAAAATAAACTTCCCACTTTTCTTTGTCGTTCGTCCACAAATTATCTTCCCATTATTTTTTTGGCAACTTTTTTTATATCAAATGACTTTATTACCCTCCCCTATTTTACTTCTTCATTCTCAGCCGCACCACCACCCCATCCTTATCTTCTCCATCTGTCTTCTCTCCACCAACCAATCCATCGCCACCTGCTTTCTTTCTCTTCTTCTTCTTCTTTCTTTTCTTCTTCCCCTTTCTTTTCTTCTCTCATGATTTTGTCCAGCCACCACTCTATTTTCATCATCTTCTTCTTCTTTTTCCTTCTTCATCTTCTTTTATCTTTTCTTCTTCTTTCCCCTCCTGATTTTGGTTGGCCACCCATTAATTGGGATGGAAAGTAGTGGTGGCGCAGTGAGGCGGCAGTCACATCCAATCCTCTTCGAACATTGCTAACATGGATTGTACAGATCTACAAATTCTATGATGCTCTCATGTTCGATTAGCAAAATCTTCTCTTCCGCCGCAGTCCAAACCTTAAATCCGCTCTTTTTCCGCCATTAAAACATTACATCTACTCTTTTTCCGATGTGTTGTCTTCCATGAGAAGATCCATAACAGATTTACTTAGGTGGGGATTGTGGAGGGGAAGGTGGCAACCAAAGAAAGAGAGGTCATCTACGATGGTGCCGGAGAGTCGTCGGTGGCGATGCCGGAGAATCGTTGTCGGCGGTGCCTGCGAGTCGTAGGCGGTAGCGTTGACAGTGAGAGGTGATGACTCACGTTGGTGGAGAAGCATAAGGGGTAGTAGGCATGTTAAGGGTATATTAGGAAAGTCAATAAAATTTTTATCACACATTAAAATGTGTCCCCGGTCAAACCGGAAAGTTAATTAATGGACGGAGGGAGTATGATTGTTGTTACATTACCAAAAAAGTCACATGTGGCTTCAAGATCAAAGAGACACCCCCTAATGGTCTACCTGGGTTTGAAATAGATACCACATTCTCAAACATCAAGTTATCTTCTGAAAGCACTTCAAACCAGGAGCAGGTTGGTTGATTATGAAGAATCCGGAGTAATTAATATGCTTCGTATTTTATGAAACATATTACGGAGGAGATAAAGAATCCGGAGTAATTAATATGTTTCGTGTGTAAAGTTACATTAAATATGCTTAGGGTACTTATTTTACTGAGCTTGTAATATAGAAATAATTTTACAAAAAAATTAATAGACTAATTATGAATTTTGTTATAGATAAAATGTTGCTGCAGAAGGATAAAAAGAATTAAAGAAACATTAAAAAAAATCATTGAAAAAACAATCTACATATTTGGTTGAAATTATTTTCAATTCAGTTTATTTGAAAATTGGGATAAAATTTAAAAAATAAAATTTATATATTTAAAAACTAAATCAAAAGATTTATAAAACAAGATGCGAAATGAATATATTATTTTTTTAAATAAGTAAAAAAAATAAGGTCAGTCAGTGTGAGTGGCGTGATGGTGTGTCGTGATGGGCACCTAGCGCCACCTAACTCGTGATGGCCGTAGAACACCCCCNACACCCCCCCCCCCCCCTCCCTCCCCAGATTCACAAATTCGTTTATCAACTCATATGAAGATTCATTTTAACTAAGTTGATAAACAAAATGTTCTGTGCAGCAGTTGGGCATCCTTAGGCGAAGAGTGGTATTTCAAGATTAGTCGTAGAGTGTCACCACCTCCCCCACTCACCAACACATCCGATCAAGGTTGTCACCACAAAGCTATAGTTAAGGTGCACAGAATCTTACCATCTAGCCGTTGGTACTCCACATCTTCACAGAGAATTCAATTTCACCGGGTCCATATAACAAACAACGGGGCAGTTGTTACACCATTCGTGCACGCGACTACTTATGCAACAAGGAATTTCTCTACCTTAGGACAGTTAGAATTACAGGTCCACACCGGTTCTGCAGAAGAAGAATCAACGCATCCTGCATGATTTTCAAACTAGTACGGAGTAATAAGACAACAGCATTAGCATAAACCCTGCAGTCATCTGAATCATTTCGCCGCAAGTAAAAACAGAAAAAAGCATCCAGACTTTAGCTCAACAAGAACATGAAGATTTCAATGTGGAGCTGTCGCCCATTGATAGTTTTCCAACAAAACCACAACCTTGTTTGAGCAGACCAAATACCAAAGATAAACAAGGGCAGCACCCCAAAAAAACCAAAAATAAACAAAAGACTGATGCGCACAAGGGCCGCAAAATTGCTGTAGCAGAAGAAATATTACTGCTGCCCTTAGGTCTCTCCCTCCATCCCCCTCCATGTGAGAGAATTCTAAATTCCAATAAGCATCCATATCCACCACCATCCATGTACAGTCTCAGAAATTAAAAAGGCAAAAGTGTATTTACACCTCTCATTCATGTGTTAATTAAGTTAATCTTCTATGCTCTGGATCTCTCCCATCATGATCCGATTGCTAACCACATTGAACCCGAGCTCCGAAATGTTTAGCTTTTTCCCCTTTTTACCCTTCTTCCGAACCACTGTTGTGACCACATCTGGGGCACCAGCTCTGCTGCCCTCACCCCTGTCAGAAGACGCGTCTCCGGCACCTTTGCTGGTGGTCCCCTTCAGATCGTTCTGATTTGGGAAGGCCATTGCAAGAACATCTGAGGCCAAGAAGTCTTTGTAGTTTAGGAACTTCTCGATGAAGTCGTGGTTGGGGTCAAAGGAGCCCATATTCTGGATCAGAATCATTTCGGCCTCAGATCTTGGTTCATGTAAACAGTACTGTAGGACGCTTGTATCTGGAAGAAAAAAAGAAATACTAAGATTCAAGACACAAATGAGAATAAAGTGCAGCCAGCCAGTATATACACACCTCTCGAACCGAGGAGCCTTGCACACTCGGTTTCACACCACTTCCTGAAATCCATGGCTTCTGGAATATAATACAAGGTAGGTCAGTATTTTACACCTGTTTTTTCACCATGCATAATACACAGTGAAAGTAATTAACATACCTGAGTGCTTTGTTGGAACATCTTTTTTCCCTTTCAGAGAGGGGCTAGCCAATGAAGGATATGAAGACATCCCGTGCTCTAATGGTCTGCTGATCGACTTTTGCTTGCTAAGTGAACCACTAGGAGTTGCTTTGACAGGGGCATTATTGGTTGCTCGACTTTGATGATTTACAAGATGAGGAAAATCAGACCTATAAGAATCAGTGAAGATCTATGAAAAGCAAAAATTCATCGCATACCACCAGGAAATTTCAAGAGCTAAATATACTCCTGCCTATAAATTATAATCTTATTGAACTCTACATCAAGCAGATCATCTTGGTACTCCCTCTGTCCCACTATTTGGGACATAAGGTAGTGGCACACAAATTAAGTAAGAATGACTCTGAGCCACACAAATATATAACTACATATGGCATGGAAAAAATTAGTGGGATGGACAAAAAAGGTAAAGAGGGACAAAAAAGTGGGATAGAGGGCGTAATATCCATGTTGTATCCCGTCAAAAAACTAATAATAATAGTAATATTCATGCCGTGACAGCATATACACATTTTCTGTGATCATAACATCTTGATCTAACTTGCAAATGCACATAAAATTGTTTGCAATTATCATATTCCACGGCTGAGTGCAAGAATAGTCCAAGACCCTTACAAAAAAACAATGATGTTGGAATGCTGAGAAATTGAACATATGGTCAAATATATCTTCCCACCATACCATACAAAACACTGGCAATTTAGGAATTCATAAGTGCAAATGATCAATTGAATCATAAATATCAGAGAGGGGAAGTGGCCATACTGTTCTCCTTGGTTCGGTTGATCAACTGGCCCCCAAAACAAATCTTCTTCTTGATTCTTTGTTTGCGGAGCTGCTGGTATACTAACTTGTATTTGGGTCGCAACCTTGGAGGGAGAAGAACCACTAAGCGACCGTAAACCACTGGATCCTCGTGCAGGTTGAGCTGGAATAACTTTCTGAGGTGCTGGTACTGGGATATGCTGCTGACCAGAAGGGGCCTTCTTTCCCTGCTCCTTCAAGATGTCCCTCAAAGAAGTGGGTTTTGGTGCTTTTCCAGAGTCGGACCACGCTGGAGCAGCAGAAGCAGTCTCACCCTTCCATGTAACAAAATCTCCCAAAGAAGGGCCAGAAGGTACAGCAGGTAAAACATCTTTTTCCATAAGTGCTTGACGTGAACCACTCTTGCCTTTGTTGTCAATGACGCTTGAGCGTGCAAAGGGATCCACAGGAGTAGGTGCAGATGTCTTAGATGATGCCATCTTGGCTTTTGCTGATTTCTTGCGACTTTTTTTAGCATCCTTAGCTTCAATAAAAGGTTGATCATCCTCGATATCAACTTGAAAGTCCGAAAAAGGAACATCAGGTGAAATCGACACGATATTGGCAACCTCTTCTTCTCTTCTGATTGACTTAACCTCATCATTTCCTACCAAGGAGTCATGCAATTGGCTTCTCATACTACTTTGGTTGCAAGAATCATATGGTGTCCTCAAAGAATTTAACTCCATGTCACTAGCATCTAGTTGAGTTTCTCTAATAAGCTTTAGATCAGAATTAGCACTAATCCCTACCGCCCAAGGACTAGAAACACTATCTGTTGAGTTGAGAGAAGTGATATCAGTAGCAGCAATTTCAAGCTGTGCTCTTCTTTGTTCTTCCTCTTGGATTTCTAGTAAAGATTTTGGTTTGAAACCAGAAGAAGACTTCCAGGCTCGTGGACCAGACACTCCTTGAGAACTGATCTGCGAGACAGTGCTAGCTTGCTCCCACTCATTTGTGTCGTCATTTGAACTTTCCCCTACTCCCGCATGAACATTACTGACAGCCACTTTATTATTTTTCCTCTCCACTGTTTCTGGTTCAGAGGCCATGTCTAATCCAGTTGGGCCATGTTGTGCATCAGATTTCACATCAGAAAGAGTAGTATCCTTAGAATGTGATGGTTTTAAATGTTCTGTCTTAGACAATCCATCCACAGTGTCATCAGCTTTCACTTTAGCAGACTTTTGCTTTTTTGATTTCTTGTCTATGGATTTCTTAGCCTCACATGATTCAGAATTCTTCGTATCCTTCAGTGCAGAAGACTTGCCATCCTTTGTTTTATAATTTACTGAGGACAATTCAGCATTCCTCATTTCCTTCACTGAAGACAGCTCGACATCCTTCATCTTATTATTTGATGAAGATGACTCATAATTTTTTTGACCACCTTCACATTGTTGATTCACATGCCATTCATATTCGTTTTTCTGATCAAGACTCAACTGAATCTCATGACTAGTGACAGGTGAAAATTTTGGAGCTGCAGAGGTCATGATTGTGGGAGGTTCAGTGCTTTCAGATTTATGATTAACTCCAAAAAGTTGATGTGGCAGATGCATAGATGAGGGTTCAGAACAAACACTATGGGTTACTACATCCATATAATTGCTTGTTGGCAAGACACTACAATTTGAGACTTGGTCATCTTGCATAGCTGGAATCTGATTTTGGGTGCCTGGAGCAAACAACGTATGTGGTGGCTGTAAATGAGCATGATCCATAGCAGTAGGATTTTCTGTCACTTTATCCGGTATCTGATTTGGAGTGCCTGGATTAAATAACGCATGTGGTGGCTGTAAATGAGCATGATCCTTAGGAGTAAGATTTGCTGTCACTACATCCGATATCTGATTTTGAGTACTGGGAGTAAAGAGCGCATGTGGCTGTAAATGAGCATGATCTATAGTAGTGAGATTTCCACCTGTCATGCCAGCTTGTTGTGATTGGCCATATGATATGTGTTCACCAAGGTGGTGCTGGGAAGAAAGGCGATCAGACAGGATCTGGGAAAGCAATTGTTGTTGGTGTGCTAACTGTTGCTGCTCTTGTTCCTGCTTTTTTAGCAACAACAATTTTTCAAGAACCAAAAGTTGTTGTGGTGGCAGAGGAGCTTGTGCTTGCAGCTGCAACAAGTACTGCTGCTGCAGCAAACCTAACAATTGTGGATCTTGGGAGACCCCATGAGGAAGCAGCTTCTCAGGAGCTAAAATGTTGGACGGCTTATTATCCCAAGTTTGACCTAGAAAACTCAACAAAGGGTTTAGTGCTGGTAGCGTTGGCTGCTGAATCCCACCAAATGCAGCTTGGGTGTTCACCTGCTGACCATTATGCATTTCTATCCTGTTTTGAAGGATTTCTGTTCCTCCTTGAGAGGGTAAATTAGGCCAACCACTAGTTGATCCATCATTCATGATTGCAGATCTATCTGGCAAACCTTGAAGTAAAGACATCAAATCCACATTCTGACTTTGAAGTTGCTGGAAAGCATTGTCCGGAACTTTTGAGTGTGGCAATGAATCATGAACTACATTTGATGTTGGAACAACAGGACTGACATCTCTAACTGGCCAATAAGGATTCGACAAAGATGCTTGCCTCTCGAGTGACATCTTTTTTGCAAGGAGGTAGAGATTATCCACGCTTTCAGAACCAAGAGAAGGCACTGCAGCAGCAGTATTTCCAGTATAACCTGGCACCCCTATCAATTATCAAAGAAACATGCTATCCACTTATAGGCATACAAGATTTAGTAATCCCAACATTTTCATTGCAAAGGATCATATTATTTTGCACATACAAATAAAGTAAATAAAAATTACCTGAGTGAACAAACTTCTCCATAGGTGCATTACTCGTGCTGCCAGACATGAGCGACTCCAAAAACCTATTATCAGCCTCAGCTGTGGAAGTGTGAGTGTATCTTGGCCCACTTCTTGAAACGTCAATCTCAGTTGGAGCGGAATGAAACTTTGCAAAAGCATTCTGATTCATTCCGGTAGAAGTATCAGTATTTGGCTTTGGTGTACTAAAGCCAGGAGGTGGACGTGGCTTGGAACACAAGTGAGGCATAATATCTCCTAGTTGAGAAAAAGGTGCATTCACTGGGGCACCAGCTAAACGGACAAGTAAATCTATGCCAAAGTATCCAGCCTCAAACCATCCAATAATATCACTGCCAGAGAATGGGCCTTGAATCTCACCATGTGGATCTTTGTAATAGAGCAATAGATCTTCTGGGGATTGTTGTGGCAACTTCTGCATATCTGACTCTTTGTCCAGTGTAGCAGAGAGCTGCTTTTTGAGATACGGATCATTCTCAAGTTGCCATTTTTGTCCTTGACTTTTTTTGTATGATGAATCTGATAGACCTCTCTCATTGTCATTAGTCAATTCCTTTTGGGGAACAGACCAGCCAATGTTGGAGCCAACGCTCACAGGCATCTCTGAAAATCCTTTAGAGATTACAGGTGACCGTTCAGTAATAAATGATGGTCTCCACTTTCCTTCAGCATTCAGCTTGGGGTCAGAAAATTTCTCAGAACCCTGTGAAGCCTCATATTTGGCATTGGGCTCAGACGAGTGAACCTGTCTCTCATGGAAAGGTTTTGAATATCTGCCTCTTCTGTCATCTACAGTTTCATCTCTAGAATTATCATGTTCAAGAGGTATATCATTTCGGCTGCCTGATAAATGCAAGGATGGTCAGCATCACGAGAAAAATAATGAAATAAAAAGAAAAGAAGTTGCCAGCAATTCAAATTTGGGTAGTGTGGCAAACAAGTGCCTGGCATCAATACTAAAGCACCTTGAATTTTTCTTGACTGCAAAAACTCAGTTGAATTTCGCCCAGCAGAACTATCTTTATTCACCTGTGATGCTCCACTACTCAGAACTTCCCCGTTGTCGATTCCTTTCAAAATGGCCTATCAAAAAAATTATATCAGACCAATTGGAACCAACTTGACTTGGCAAACAAATATTTGGTAACACTGTGATTTACCATTTCTTCAGAACAGGGTGTAGAAAAAGCTAAAGGCTCGAGGGTCTCTTCTTGCATGAGTGAAGATATCTGCATAGTTTCATCTAAAATATTGCTAGAGGATCTCATATCAGTAGTCTTGTAAACATTTAGCAATTCAGCCCGACTGTATCTTAAAGGAGAGGACTCATCCTGAGCACATTTAACCCTCTCTGAGAGCACACCACGCGATGGAATATGAGAAGATATGCCATCCACAGGGATTCCACCAGAGGGCATCCGTCCTTGCACATGAGTAGAAGTTGGACCATTTTGTCCACGTCCTCGACCATGGCTTGCGACAAAAACATGCCTGTTTGACGCCGAATCCAGATGAGGAGGATCCACCCTACCTGGACTTTGGGACAGACTAGGTCTCCAACGCTGGTGGTGGTCCCCTTCTCTTTCATCCTTTCCATAATATGCATGAGCAGACTGTCCTTTTTCAATGGGAAAGTCTGCTTCTTTGCTAAAATCACTATGTCTCTCATGTAGGTCATCTGATTCCTTATCATTACGCCCCCATCGTGTGCTCCACTTGCTCTCTCGACGTGGATCATGATTATTTTCCCTATTTCCCAAATCAGCAACACGATCCAATGGAGCACGGCGTGATTCTCCGTAATTCCTTCCAGCTGAAGAAGACCAGCGATCCACCTTACGGCCATTACCAAGCCCTTTGTCCCCCTCCCTCGAGCGGTCCCAGCGGAAAGGGGAATCAGTGTCTCTTTCTTCTTCACGCCATCGGTCACGTCGTGCAGAGTCCTCCATCACAGAGGGCCTGAATACATCCTTCTTCCTCTGTTGATCATGAACATTCTCACTCGTCCCTGTGGATTTGGGGAGGTCAGACCTGGTCACATGTGCTGAATGTGGGCTGAAATGAATTTCCTGCAATTTTAAGTCATCAATGATCAAGCACAAAAATGATTGATGCCCGTGCTCTCTATCATCAATGTTACATTTCAACGAATCCTCAACTATGCATTTCTATTCTATATATTGTATTAGAAAAAGAAGGAAAAGAAAGAGTTCAAAAACTAATAATAGTGGAGGTGGTAGTGGTAGTAGTAGTAGTAATAAAAATTATTATTATTATCACTATTATTATTATCATCATCATCATCATCATCATCATCATCATCATCATCATCATCATTATCATTATAACGGGCCGATTCTTTTAACATTAGTGACTAATGTCAAAAAAGTGTAGTGTTGTCGTTAAAAGTTGGCTACCATATAATATCCTTCTTTGTGTTTATAAAGGCAAATTTGTCCATTTAACCATAAATGGAGTGGATTTAGGCATAATGAGGGTGGATATAGCAACACCCTATTATTATTATTATTGATTTCAAGAATATGGATAACACACCCCTGTTGTCTCAGTTTTGTTCTCCCCTGCCTTTGGAAAAAGCCACTGTGGTGAAAGTGGAACGGGATTGAAGGATCCTTGCAGTTGCATGCCTTCTAAATAAGAAATGAGAGGAAAATGAGTTAATTAATTTAGCAAAGGCATATTTTAGTATTATTGCAAGGGACGAAAAACAAACCAGGAAAGAAACACTGCAGAATGCAAAGCAACCATTTATATAAAAGAATGAAATGGATTAAGCAACAACAACAACAACAAAGCCTTATCTGACTAGGTGGGTTCGGCTACATGGATCAAACAACACCATTGCGCCATATCATGACATGGATTAAGCCACATCAGAAAATTAAATATGATAATTACATCATATCCCATTAGCATAATTACGTGAATATGTCATAAAGTTGAGAGAATGCATTGAAGGATTAGAGATCATTTGTTAGGAGGGCGCAACACCCTCCCAATCTGCCTTATAAAATCACAAATTTAGTTTCTCAGATAGAATAAGTTTAGTTCCCATCAACCAAATATGCTAATAATATTACACAAAACAATAATTTTATGATATTCATGCACGCTAGAATTTGCATAAATCAATCACAAGTTTGTTTTTTTCCGGAGCAGATGGTCGTAAACACCAAAATTGAATATGCAAAAGCAGAACAAAAATGCAAAGCTCAAACCCGCATTAAGATGAGCAGTCTTAGAAATTACAGGTAAAATCCTTAACTTCAGAAGGCTGAGTCATAACAACAGGATGAAAACAAAAGAAAAAAATGAAAATAAAAACCCAGAGCAATACAATGCCTTCTTTTGTAATAACAGAAATGAACTGCACTCATCCAATAAGAGACCAACCCTGAACCCACACTGAGGGCGAGGATATGAGTTCCCATCTAGGGTTTTGAAGAAAACAGCATTGAAAAACCGTGAGGTAAAATGGCAAATACAAAGAACGGATAGATAAATTGGCGGTGAAGGCATGGAGTCAAATATGAACTAATGCTGAAAAAAACTACAGTACCTTCGGAGATCTGGGTGGGGCGTGAATCGAACTGTGTCTTGTCAGCCATGGATGGTGGTAGGGCAAAGGATTGAAGAAAACTTCGATTGAAATTAACAGGAACTCGAAGAAGCCAGAGAAACCCTTTTTTTAGGCGACTGCTTGGAGGTGGGAGGGACTGAACGCAGGCTTGTGTTGGTGTGAATATAGGGCAACCGCAAGGAGTGGGGTAGTCGAATGGAGAATGGTTTATGTCAAGGCTCAAGGGTGTTGCAAAATAGAAAACCATGCTACAATTACATCAAAAAATGTACCCCACTTGTACACCACAGCTTTGCACAGATATTTTGATGATTTACACCGACATAAGTGTTGGTGCGTTAACAAAAATGTATACGGACACAAATGTTGGTGTGTTAACAAAAAATTAGTTTTACACCAACACAAAATATTGGTGCAAACCTGCGGGGTAGAAATTGGGGTATAAATGTTGGGGTATACATAGCTTAATCCAAAATAGAATGTCTTCTTGAAACATTTCAATCAATAAAAATAATAGGGATAATAGCATTGGTGCCTCTTGTGATTTACAAAAGGAATACCAAAATCCCTTCTACTTTCAAAAGTTATTTGTAAAATCCATGTGGTTTTTAAATAGTGCACAAACACCCCCTCTTGCCTATTTTACACATGAAATGACATTTCTGCCCTTGGTTTTCTCTATCTTCAAATTTTACTCTTTTCTGTATATTTTTTGTCATAGAAATAAATAAAATAAAATATACGCCCTCTTTCTAAAATAAAGTTTTTTTATTTATTTAATTTTCAAAAATATAATTTTTTTAGAAAATGTTACAAAAAGGAAATAAAATACACTTTTCATTATAAGTAAAAGTAAAATAAATAAAATAAAAATTGGATTACATATACAAACTCTATCTCTAATTAAAAATTTGAAACTTATTTGTTGTTTAAAAGTAAAATAATTTTTTAAGGACTTTAAAAAATGAAGAACAAAAAGATGAAATAAAATATGAAGTTAAAGAAAAAGAATATTTTTTATATTTTTATTTCTTTTCATTACTTTTTTTAACTATTACTCCGTATTACTTTTTACTTTGTACATAATATTTTATTTTTCATTTTTTTGTAAAATTCTCCAAAAAATCTTTTGTTTTCAAAAGTACATTATAAAAAATTCTAATTTGAGATGGAAAGCGTATATTTTATTTTATATATTTGTATAATAAAGGTAATTGAAATTGGGAAAACAAAGGGCATAAATGTCATTTTTGCTTTAAAAATAGGTAAGGGGGGCATGTGTGCTCTATTTAGAAACCACATGGACTTTACAAATAACTTTTGAAAACAGATGGGATTTTGACGCCCTTTTTGTAAACTACAGGGGCAGCCATGCTATTAACCCTTTCTTTTCATTACCTTTTTTAACTATTATTACTTTTTACTTTGTACATAATATTTTATTTTTCATGTTTTTTGTAAAATTCTCCAAAAAAAAATCTTTTGTTTTCAAAAGTACATTAAAAAAAATTCTAATTTGAGATGGAAAGCGTATATTTTATTTTATATATTTGTATATAAAGGTAATTGAAATTGGAAAAATTCAAGATCGCGGAAAACAAAGGGCATAAATGTCATTTTTATTTTAAAAATAGGTAAGGGGGCATGTGTGCTCTATTTAGAAACCACTAGGACTTTACAAATAACTTTTGAAAACAGATGGGGTTTTGACGCCCTTTTTGTAAACCACATGGGGCAGCCATACTATTAACCCAAATAATAGGATAAAGTTATTTGTATTCTAAGGGTTTTTACTCCATTTGTACACTAAATGTATGCATCAACATTTATGTTGGTATAATACTAATTTTTGTTAATGCACCAACACTTTGTATTAATGTAAATTTTTGTTAATGCACTACTTTGTTTCAATATGAATCATCAAAATGTTAGTGTATACCTTCGGTGTAAGTTTGGAATGCAAATTTTGGTATAAGTGTAGCATGATTCAAAATAATATACCCAATGAGTGGGAAGTGAATGAAGTGACATGTCTTGCACTATTTTATCTAGGGGTGGGCAATCGGGTCCAGGAACCGGGAGTCGGAACCGGACCGCTAGGTTCGGTCTGGGTTAGGGTCAGGTCCTCTTTTCAAAAATTTTAAACGGTCCGGGTCTGGGTTGGTCTGATCCGGTCCTTCTAGATTTTAGGGTCGGTCCGGTTCCCTATTTTGAAATTGTTTTGGACCCGGACCGGACCGTTTTTCTAAATCTTAATATTATTTTTAATATTATTTTTAGTAAATATACGGATATACGGAAATATACCCGCCTAAGCCCTTCAATCTTTCGGTCCTTCCAATTGCAGGCAGAAAAGTGAGAAAACTTTTCGTAGTCAGAGAGTCGAAACCCATGAATATTGTGAATTTTGTTCTTTTTGGAACCCATTGACATTATAATGCCAAAATGTGGTTGTCTTCTTTTTTTGTTGTTGTTGGATGATCATGGGGTGTACACTTTATTCTCATGCCCTTCTTTGTTATTGTTTTATTTTCATTTACGCCTCTTTTTTTGTGTTTGATGACTTAAATTAATTTATTATCCCTTTATTTTTTTTAATATTAGTATCATGATAGGTTCGGACCCGTTGAACCGTGGAATCGGCCCGTTTCAAACAAGCCGGGTTAGGTCCGATTTCAATTTTAAAATTTTGATAACCCGTTCCAGCCCGGACCGTTTTAATAAAAACAAGCCGAGTCCGATTTATAAAAATCTTGGCTCGGATCGGCCCATGCCCACCCCTAATTTTATCACTTTTTTCATTTTCTTGCTATATTTAAATTATTAAGAATAATCTTACCTATTTATTTTATCATAAAAATATTTATATTTAATCAAAAAAATACTACCTTTTTTCTGAGTATTTGTCTAATTTTGAATTTTTTAGTTAATCATTTTCAATCTTTGACATATAATTAAATAAAATATATATTATATATTAATTAGATAAAATAATATTTTGAAAATATTTCATATAGTAATTCTGATAAAACTATTTTTGTATCAATATCTAATATCATTATTATTAAATTTAAGATCAAATTTTACGAATTTTGACTGAAAAGGTCAAAAGTACACAAATATTTAGGGACGGAGGGATTAACATTTTTAAATTTTTTTAGTTATTAAAAAATCTTTTTGTTATCTATTCCGTATTTTTATTTACCCATCCGTCTCAAAATAGATTGCAATGTTAGAATTATGATGCAAAACTCCTTATTTTTTAAAACCATTTTATTTAAAAATTGGAATAAGAAAAAAAATAAAAGTTACAAATTAAAAAACTATATCAAAACTTCTACCAAATATGAGGCGACAAGACTATTTTATTTTATCAAACAACCAATAAAACTATAAAAGAACAAATAAACAAAACTATCGAGAGCTGAGAGAAAAAAATAACTCCCGGTATAATCAATCGTTAGATGGAGGGAGTAAAAAAAATAGTTCTGGTACCTTAAAAAACATTATCTTTTTTTAAAAGTAAAACACTTGTACTTCCTCTAAAAAAATCTATTATATGCAAAAAACACAAAGAAAATAGAGTGTATCGTACTATTAAACTGCCTCGCACGTAACTTCCTGATTCTGGAGAAGCGGTATAGACACACGATGTAGAGAGAAAATTCTATCTGACTTGGCAAATGTGTCATCCAACACACACGCCGTTGCATTTGCTCTAATAACTTTAAAGTTATGGGAGTCTTTCTCTGTATTGATGTTTATTGGATTATTGATGATAAATATTTTTAGGTTCTAAGTTGCTTATAAGCCAGATATTCATAATAAGTGAGGAAAAAATGACATAAATGATAGATAAATCATTTGGAATATTCATAAAAAGTGATGAATAGTTTGATAAATAATTTGTTCAAAATGGAGAAACAAAATACTACTTAAAAATAAATAGATAAGACAAACTTATTTTTTCTGGCTTATAAACAGCTTATATGCCAGCTTATAAACACAGAAAAGCATATCATCAGCTGACTTAAAAGTTAAAAAATTGTTTATAAATGGTTTTGATCCGCTTATAAGCACATAATAACACCTAAAATGTGGTTATATTCCTTTATCTTAACTTTCTTATGTGTCTAATATGTTACCTAATTTGAGACATTGAAAATTAAAAGTTGCTCAGTAATAATTTAGTGTAAAATCAATAATTAAATCTAAATTTTATTTAAAAAAATTATTAAATTTAATTATAGAAGAAAGATGTTTGTTTTTATAATAGTATTCTTTCTTGATTTTATAGAGTGATACTCGTAATAAATATGATACTCTGAGATGGACATATAGGCTCTATCTTTCGGGCCTATTGAGCAAATGGGCATGCCATCAGGGGGCACACTTGCCCACATGAGCATACTCGACTAGAAACGAGGTAAGCCTTCCATCTACCAGACTCGGCGATCTCATGCATCCTCTGTACACCTAGAAAAACGGTCAATCAGGTCGAGTTTGGGTTATTTCAATTTGGGTCACTTCAGATTTAGGTTTACGAGTGCTTGTTCACGACCAGAGTCATCGTGTTCGGGTTGACCCAACGAGTTAAGAGGTGTATTCAAAAATTAAAATTCTTGCTATTTAGATATTAAGTGATCAATGCATTATTCAAAACAAAGAACAAAATCATAAAGTTTGCAAGTCTACTTGTAGCATCCCAAAAGAAAATTGCAATATAATAAAAAAATCAATTTTTTGGAGCATACAAAAAAAAGTTAAAGTAGATGAAATAAATGAAGATTCTTTCAACATACCAAAAAAATACTCAAGTATATATTATACAAAAAATTGAGAATCTTGCAACATACCAAAACAAAAATTTGCAATAGATGAAAAGTCATATTCTTATTTATATTTTAAACATTGTACGGTCATTACATTTTTTGTAGAGTGTACCAAAACATGTAACATCTTTACATAATTGCATCATACAAAAAATGTAGTATACCAGAAAAAATTACACAATACCAAAAACATTTTATAATATACTAAAAAATTTAGAAGAAAAAAACTAAAACTTGAATTACCTACAGACGCAACTGAAGAAGATAAAATAGGATTAGCAATTTCACTATTGTTCTTGTATCTTCTAACCATTTTGATTGAACCGGCACCTAATATCGACGGATGGTGAAAGA